TTTTTTACATACTGCCATACTAGAGTAATTATTCTTTAACTTGTACCCAACTAGGGATGTTTTGACCCACTCCCTTTTCTGCTTATGATTTTAGATTGAGAAACTGATGTGACTCCATTTTTGAGAAACCAGCCTCTACCTCAGAGCAAAGCCTGTCCAAGAAAGGGGGCGTGACCCTTGTCCTTGGAAAAACCCACAGAGCACTTCCAGGCAGATAGCCACCCTGCTGAGTTGTTTGTCTGTAAATAACAGGAGAGATCTGCGGGTGCCAGGTGTCACTGACTCAATCAGGCTAGGTGAGGACCCATAGCAACTCCCTAGCAACCACCAATCTGCTAGTTCATGGTGGTTGATAACATGTTGGGAAACCATGTAGTTTAGCACGTACACCCCACATGGCTTAAGCCAATCAGTTCAAACGAATCCCCCTCTTGTACTAGCCAATCACCCTTACCCAACTTGTTCCCGCCAGTGAATGTGCTAATCATGTTTTAGAGTTGTTTTATGATTTTCCCATGGTGTGTGATGATTTGCTAAGAGATGCTATGATGTTTGTGAAGTCCCTGCCTTCCCCAAAGACTGTATAAAACTGCTGCAAACCCTGGGACCTCTCAGCGTCACCAATTGTTGTGTGTGCACAGAGGACTGAGCTAGCTTGCAATAAATGCCTCTGGGCTGCTTACATCGATCTTGGTCTCTGTTGGTCTTTTGGGGGTCCCGAACTCGAGCTTATCAAGATCTCATGACGTTCATTTATGGTTTTAAATCATAGCAACAGGTATTTATGCTTTAATATGGTTTTGGACTATAAAAGGTGTACTCAAACCCTGGGAGAGGGTCAAAGGGTATAGACTTGCAGCCTACCCCTTGGTCTCCCAGCTAGTGGATCCAGAATGCCTGCTGGTGAATAAAGTTTCCGTCTCCTACTTTAAGATGGACTCAGTGATTTCTAGTCAGTTGTCTGGCTGATGAGATGAGCCAGGTTCAAAAGAGCTGACTGCAACATTAAATTAAGAAAATGGTGAAGAAATCACGCAACACACAGACATGAGTTTCTCAGGTCGAGGGTGGGACTCTAGTCTACGACCTCAAGGGTCCTCTTCCTCAGTGGAAGGCAAGAGAACGAATGCACCCAGAACCTCATTATTTATTCGATAGAATATTCCGCCCAAATAAGGTAGGGAATAGAATTTCAGAAGGGGTTGGTTGCCCAATCCCATTTGGTAACACTCAAGCCCAGAGCTGAAGCACTTCCTTGCTGAGTGAAGGTAAGACCCACTTGCTTTGCACAGCACTTGGCGTTCGAAGCCGGTTCAATACCTTCATTACTCAAGACTGAAGTGGGCTGCTTTGCTTGTGCGCAGGGCAGCCCCTGACAGTGATTTATTGCAATCTCGCCTTAACAATCTCTCTACTGGTTAACTTTCTTTGTGTTAGAATTCTCTACACCTTTTCCTTTGCTGTTTTTCTATATTTACCTCCAGTTAATTTTTACTTTAAATTTTATGAATTAAAATTATCTAATTTATAGAATGCTTTATATATTAAGTAACACATTGTTACATATGTTCCATATTACTTCTCCCATTTAAAAAAATGATGAAAGTATTTTGGTTTTACACAGAAAAAAATTCATGAGTTTTTTTCCTTATAATTTCTGCATCAGCATCCTGGAAATATAGCTATAATGAGAAATAATCTTCATAAAGTAGATAGCTTTCTAAAAATGATAGTTTAAGTGATAAGGGACAGCCAGGGCATATTTGCAGGATTTTTAAGTATCCTCCAGGACTACAACCCTGCAGTTATGCAGAATCAGGACTCCAGTGAGGTTCAGAGTATTAAAGTGAAAGGACAGGTGATGCTTGATGGCTATAGAACTAAAGGATACCTCAGTCACACAGATTTTTTTTTTAGGACCCCAAACTCCTGGAATAAAAAACTCTCACATGCTCAAATTATACTATTTTTAGCATCCTGATGGAATGAGTTCACAAATATTGCATTTCAAATTTTCGTCTCCATATTTTACAGTGAGATTCAGTTTCCTTTTTGTGCTATGTTCATTGGGTCTGAAATTAAGAGAACGCCGACTTTGACTCCCTCCCTCTTTTGCCTTAATCTACTTAATGATATTTGGGTTTAAATTTACCATCTCACTATTAATTTTATTTGTTCTATGTGCTCATTTCCTTTTTTTAAAAAAAAAAAAAAGTTGATGGACCTTTATTTTATTCATTTCTTTTTATGTGGTGCTGAGAATCGATCCCAGTGCCTTGCACATGCTAGGCAAGCATTCTACCACTGAGCCACCACCCAGCCCCCCTCATTTCCTTTTGATTTGGCTATATTGATATTTCCTCTTCTATTAGTTTAGTAATCATACTTTTATTTTTCTTTTAGTAGCTAAAGATTTCAATATTAACCCTAATCTCCAGTGGTACTTGGACTTTGTTATCTTCTTTGCAAATAATATGACAATCTTAAAACACTTTAGCTCCAAGAATACTGTTATGGTTAATTTTGTGCATTGACTTGAATGGTCACGCTCATTTCACACTGTTCCTGAGATACTGGATTGCAGCAAAAATAAGTCCTGAGTGGATGGCAAAGTCCTGGTGGGCAAAGCACGCCAGGCATCACAAGGTCAAACAGACCTTTAGCTCTTTCCACAATCTCCGATATTTCCTAAATGCTCCCCCAGTACACATACAATCTAATAATGCACAGTGAATATGCTAGTCACACACAGCTTCATGACAAATGCCCCCAACTCCCCCTTCCCACATAGATTGCCACCCCTACATGGAATTCCCCTATACATTCAGAAATCTCAGGGTAGAATTGTGAGTGGGATGAGCATAAATTTAATATAAAGATATATTTGTTCATCTACTCTCTTCATGTTGTCTGCATCTGATTTTTTTCTGCCCATTCCACAATTACTATTAATTCTTGAACCCCATAATGAGAGATGGCATGTATATGGAAACAGGGAGAAGGGTGCTAGATTTTGACTAGTATAAATAAACATGGTACCTTATTTAGTGGATGACAGCCAGGATATAAAGAGGATTCAAAAAGCCAAGGTCAAGTCCTTTTGTATTTCAGCTCCTATTACTTTCCTGGAAATACCACTTCATATGAATGCAGAAAATAAGGTACTAACCAGAGAGGGAGAAGAGAGAGACTCTGGTCCTCTCTGAAAACAGGGATGGCTACAAGGCTTGCTGTTGTGGCTACCGCGTTGAAAGATACACACAGTTCCCAGAGCCTTCTGCTACCTTCTGGTCTCCTCCATTTCAAAATTATTAGCTGAATAAACAGATAATAATTTTCAATCCTGCCTATTTACACTCTAGTTGTATACAATTATTCCAGACATTCCAAACTTATTTCCAATGCCCATTGGGCAAATCTTTTGGATAAAATCTTGAGTATTGTAATAAGACAACAGAATAATTACTACAGTATCTGACTAAAATGAACCTACCTTTCATTTTAAAGGGTTGAAAAAAATTTTTAAACACTTTTTTATACCTTTATTTTATTTTTATGTGGTGCAAAAGATCAAACACAGTGCCTTATGCATGCTAGGCGAGTATTCTACCACTGAGCCAAAACCCCAGCCCCTGAAATATTTTTATTGTATTTGGGTGCTGAGATGGATTTTTAGAATACCTCTTTATCATAGGAAACTCCAACTTTAAAAATCATTACTGAAGAACTTCACACTTTAAGAAGCACAGATTAGTCAAATTATCTTTTAAAATTCCTCTTTAATTCCAAGGAGACAAAGTTCCTGGTCATTAAATGTGTTATGTTTAACTAACATTTCTCATAACCAATGTAATAATTTAGAACAAGCAAACTTGGAAGAGTTATACTTTGAAGTGCTATGTGTGCAATAGAGTATAGGCCAAAGCCCTTTTAATAATCAATATGATCATTTTTGAAAATTTTTAAAAGATAAGCAGAATATATAGTAGAGAAAACATTTGATTAGGTGTCTCAACCCTCTATGAATATTCTGCTTCCCTAGCTAAGAAGACAAGGAAGTAAGTCACATACTTTTTAGAGACATCCATGTAGTGGCCAGAAGGTCAGATTAGATGGTCTCTAGGGATCTGTCCAGCTCTGGGATTATATATGACCAAATAACCTCTATGGTTTCTTCTAGCTCAGAATATACACATAATTGGAACTACTTGGAAAGCTGAGGCAGGAGGATTGCAAGTTCCAGGCTAGCCTGGGCTACTTAGTAACATCTTGTCTCAAATTTTAAAAAATAAACATTAAAAAGGGATGGAAGGGCTGGGGATGTGGCTCAAGTGGTAACGCGCTCGCCTAGCATGAGTGAGGCACTGGGTTCCATTCTCAGCACCACATAAAAATAAAATAAAGATATTGTGTCCACCTAAAAACTAAAAAATAAATATTAAAAAAAAGGGATGGGCTATGTAGCTCAGTGGTAAAGCACTTGCCTAGCAAGCACAGGGCCCTGAGCTCAATCCCCAGTACTGCAAAAAGAAAAAACAAACAAACAAAAAGATATATAATATATATGCGAACACATACCTACACACTTAGATACATAAATAAATATATGTGTATTCTACTCAAATCTTTAAAACAGCTTTTGGATATGTCAGATATCCAAGGATATATAATGGGAACACAGTTTTTCCCATTTAAAATTGTTATACAGGTTAATAGTATATGTTTGTTTTCAAAATTCATTATGGGTGATGTCTATTTTTTATTTGAGGTCATGTCTTTGGACAGGAATGCAATCCTAACTACAATGTTGTTCTGGCACATTTCACTTTATAAGGAGTACACTGCAGTAAAAAGTAGAGCCCATCCATGAAACATTAGAAAATGCTGGTCCCAACAGAAGTAACATTTGCCAACTAAACTTTGATGTTATTCATTGATTTAGAATTACATGTTAAAATATCTAATGTGATCTTCACCACTCAAATTCAATCAAAAAATAATAATAATCCAAAAGCACATTTTTATTTGCAGTAAAGTTATAAGACAGATGGGCACTTAAACTCAATACATGAAAAACTTAGATATGATGTTAAATTACAACTGAAGTTTCCAAAAATGTATTTAAAATCCAATTACAGCATTGTAATTTCCTTAAATTACTTTATTTTAAAGTGTCAAAAACTTAAAGATGTTCTTGTGTTTATACATAAGCTGTATGTCTCAATTCAGAATTTTTCCATCACTACAGAATGAAATACCCCCTTTAGTGTAGCACTTAATTTTTATTTTTTAAAATCTACTAAGGCTGATGCAATTTCTAAAGAGCAATGACCCCACCATAAAAATATTAAAGGCTGTCTTTTCTTTTTTAAAGTGCTTATTAGCTTTATATCCCAAAGCAATGGTTTTTCCAACATATAATATTGAAAGGTGCTCACAAAGTCACTATGTATATACTCAAATATGTCATCTTTCTAACTTTGAACATAGTAAACTGGTTTCATCTGCATTAATGAAGATTGCTTTCAATGGCCCTCAAACACATGCTTCAAATCAAGACAGCTTTATTTGTACCAGCAGTGGGAATAGTAACAGCAGAATGAACTGCAGCATAGTTTAAATAGATCACAGTAGACCACGAAAAATGGTAACAGCTTTTGGATACGTCAGATATCCCAGGATTAGCCTTCTCTTCACTCTGCGTATGTGGTAAACACTTAAGAAAAAAAAAAAAAACTATTAAAACACTCTCTTAATTCTCTATGGAGCATTTTTTTAGTGTATAAAGAGTTCAAACCCTCTTACTATTTAGCTGAACTCTCCTTATACATAGGAGCCTTCATATTCTCAACATTTTTTTTTTAAAAAAAGCCTATTTTCATAAAGAAAGCAAGAAGGAATTAATAAATGAAATTTTCAATTCTACAATCCTGAGAAATAAAATCATAAACAATTCTAAAATTAAATATTTTTTTAAAGGCTGATACAAATATTCCAAAACAGAATTCGTTTTCTGAGAGTGAAAAGTTACTTCATTTTAGTCATATCATTTTTACCTGATTTACACACTTTAGGACAAAAACTAAACATCATCTTAATCTAACTGCTTCCTGTGTGAGACTATCATCTGATTCATGTCTCCAATATGTACCATTCAATAGTCTTACAATGAGCATCCCCTCAGGTCTGTTTTCTCAGCCTGAAGTTTTGTATTCCTCCTTTCTCTCCCTCCAAAAATTCCTATATATCTCAAGAGAAAATTTACATTAAAAAAAAAACTCACAATTTAAATACAATGTGATAATACTACATTTGACTTAAAGTTTTAATAAATTATAAATTGCCAAATAACTTAATGTAATTCATAATGCAAATCCCTGGTATAAAAAAAATCCATCGTGCCCTGAATATAATAAAGCAGTCCAGTGAATTCAAATTACTTATGAAATAAAAGCAAAAACAAGATGTAAAATACTATTTATAAAAGTCAAGTAAGAAACCAGTTACCATAAATCTTCTTACAAAGATAAATGTTATGTGGTTTACCACTTTGAAAAATTGTTAGGAAGGGCTATAATTAGTGGTTTCAAAAATGATTTTAGGGAAATCAGAGTTTGAATTATGTATTATTGTCATATATGACATATTAAATATATCTGTAACAATAATACTACAATGTCAGGGGGAGGGGCATGCGTAGTGGTACACATCTGTAATCTCAATTACTGGGGAAACTGAGGCAGGAAGATCTTGCCTTCAAGGCCAGCCTGGGAAACTTAATGAGATCCTGTCTCAAAATAATAAAAATAATAATAATAACAATACTGCAACGGAGAATAATTTAAATTAACTTCTGCACTTGCTATCTTTTGGCAAGTATATTTCTTTTTTAAAGTTTTTGCTATAAGTGATTAATTTTAAATGTTTGTCTTCAAAAACTTTTTTACTTGAGGTACTTATGTTCATAGGGAGATACCAGAAGTCTCAAATAGTAATAACATGCCTACAAAATAAAACAAAGATTGTTCTTGCATCTTTTGTTATTGTAACAAATATACTTTAAAATAGACAACACTGCTATGCTTAAAAATTAAAAATATCCAATTTTAAAAAGGGGTGAAAAGGAAAAAAAATTGAAAATTCTTATTTAAAAATAAATCTAAAGTCCTTGCATTTCTTAAGAACCTGACAGTTCTTCTTCTTTTCAATCAAGTTTTATCTTCCACCAAGATAAGTTTTATCATTCGTGTGATAAGATGTCAAGTCTTCATCTTGTTGGTTTCAGTTTGAATTTTCTTGAATGTTTGCACTACTGGTACTGGACTTGAGACGTTTGGCTAGATAAGACAAAAGTATTATATTTTAAATTTAATTTTTAAACATAATTATTTATTATTTTATGTAAGCACAGTATTTATCTATTGTTTGAATCCAAATAGATTCAATCTTCTAAATATTAAATTCCATTTTTTCTACCAACTTTGAAAAACAACTTAGTTAGAAACTACATATGACATGGCTAGAAGTAGTACCAAATAAAACAAACATAATTTATACTTTCTTGAACATCACAATCTTAAATATGTAATATAGATAAAAGCAATCTACTTAGATGATAAAAGTGCTATATAGTATAATAAAAAGTCAGTGAAGCTGGGCACAGTGGCACAGGCCTGTAATCCCAGCAGCAGCTTGGGAGGCTGGCTTTGTGAATTCAAAGCCAGCCTCAGCAACAGTGAGGTGCTACACAACTCAGTGAGACACTGTCTCTAAATAAAACACAAAATAGGACTGGGGAAGTGCTCAGTGGTCAAGTGCCCCTCAGTTCAATTCCCAGTACAGACCCCACACACACACACAAAAAGAAAAGTCAGTGAAAACTTCTTCTGATAAAGGGTAGCTAAGAAGATTCTACAGTAATTATTATGCTCAATTATGAAAAACTGAATGATTTCCCCCTAAGATCTGGAATAAGACCAGGATATTTAGTCTTATTCAACATCATGCCACTAATTTTGTCAGTGCAATATAGTGAGAAAAAGAAAAGGAAAGGTATCCATATGGAAACAAAAAAATTTGCTTCTGTTTTCAGATTAAAAAAATAAATTTAGGGGCTGGGGGTGTAACTCAGTCATAAAGATTATGCTTAGTACTTTGTGTACCATCAGTGACTTGAAAAATTGTGCTCTATATGTGCAATATGAGATGAAATGCATTCTGCCATCATGTATAACAAATTAGAATAAATAAATAATTTAATTAAAAAAGGAAAAAAAAAGATTATGCTTAACATGTTCAAGGCCCTGGGTTCAACTCCCCAGTACTTCATGAAAAAAAAAAAAATCAGTGAAAGAACTCTATAAAATACATTAAATGACTTACAAAAATAAATTGTATACCACATGCACATTCACAAACATATGCACAAACACAAATATATATAGCTTCAAAGAAAATATGTGACAATCAGTTTTGATTGTAGTGCTAATGGGATTGGGTTATTGGGGTTAACAGAAAAAAAATCATCTTATTTGGCATGGTAATATGTTTTATTCTTACAGTTAAATAAGAATATTTCTCATTCGGAGCTTTAGAAATGAAAAACATCAGTGCCAGTGTGAGAGTACCTTATACCAGAAAACTAGGAATCTCCTGACTCCAATGGTTTGTAACCTAGAGTAGAGGTCTGATTTGGAAGACCTGCAATGGAACTCAGGCACCATTTTTGTTTGTTTTGATTTCAAGCTTTGTAAATAATTTTGATAGTCAAGAATGAGAACCCTGCTATAGTTTCAATCGGGATGTCCCGACTCCCACTGTTCATGCAAAATGACAAGCTGACTTCCTGGACCAGTGTGTTTGCTTAAGCCTAAACTTAAGGGCAAACTTAAACTTAAAAAAAAAAAAAAAAAAGCCTTTAGGGAAGAAAACTAAATCAGCAGTTTGTTTTTTTGTTTGTGATCTAGCGTATTACCAATTATCAAATTACTTAATAAACTGACCAGGCAGCAATACTGGTAGGTATATATACCTACAACTTCTTGCCTCTTTAGTCTCTTCCTGATAAATCCTCATGGCCTTTAAAATTCTCCCCACACCCCACCTCCAGCAATGGTGTAGAGGTAAATTTCAACCTAAAACAGAATCATACTGTGTCTCTACCTTTACTACATACTTTAATAATTGAGTCAGGGTCAGTGTATTCTTTGAGGACATGAATTATGCCTTGTTCCTTTATTCTATTTATTTTATTTTTTAAAAATATTTATTTTTTCTTCTTTTTTTTCTTTTTTTTTAGAGAGAGAGAGAGAGAGAGAGAGAGAGAGAGAGAGAGAGAAAGAGAGAATTTTTTAATATTTATTTTTTAGTTTTCGGCGGACACAACATCTTTGTTTGTATGTAGTGCTGAGGATCGAACCCGGGCCGCACGCATGCCAGGCGAGCGCGCTACCGCTTGAGCCACATCCCCAGCCCCGTATTTATTTTATTTTTTAAAAAATTTTGGTACCAGGGATTGAACCCAGGGGTGCTTTACCACTGAGCCACATCCCCAGGCCTTTTTATTTTTTTGAGACAGGTCTAAGTTCTTAGGGCCTTGCTAAGTTGCTGAAGCTGGCCTCAAACTTGTGATCCTCCTGCCTCAACCTCCGGAGTCACTGGGATTGCAGGCGTGTGGTACCGCACCCAGTTTGTTCCTTTTTAATCCCAATTCCTACCACAATGCTAGTATTGTGGCAGGGATTCAGTAACTGCTTGTTATGGTTTGGAATGTGAGGTGTCCCCCAAAAGCTCACAGGTGAGATAATACAAGAAAGTTCAGAGAAGAAATGATTGGGTTGCAAGAGCTTTAACCCAATCAGTGCATTAATACTATGATAGGATTAACTGAATGGTACCTGGAGGGGGGTTATTGGGGTGTGTGGCTATGGGGTATATATCTGTATCTGGTGAGTGAAGTCAGAATCTTTGCTTTCTGATTATCATGTGAGCTGCTTCCCTCCACACACTCTTTCACCATGACGTTCTGCCTCACCTTGAGCCCTGAGGAATGAAGCCTGCTGTCTATGGATTGAGACCTCTGAAACCATGAGCCCTTAAATAAACTTTTCCTCCTCTATAGTTGTTCTGGTCAGGTCCTTAGTCACAATAGCGAAATAGCACACTAAAACACACAGGCAAGATATTATAGGTTGTGGGCTGGGGATGTGGCTCAAGCGGTAGCGTGCTCGCCTGGCATGCGTGCGGCCCGGGTTCGATCCTCAGCACCACATACAAACAAAGATGTTGTGTCCGCCGAAAACTGAAAAATAAATATTGAAATTCTCTCTCTCTCTCTCTTAAAAAAAAAAGGATATTATAGGTTCTGTACAAACTGATCTACATATAATCATTTTTTTTAAGGTAAGTGTATTAGAAGTGAAATCAGATGAAGAAGTGCCAGAAGGATTTAAGGGGAAAAGAACTTTTAAAGTGTAGGGTTCTAGAATACAAATAATATTTAAGAGAAAAAAGATTAGCTTTTCCTCAAAAAAAAAATTCATTTTTAAATACTAAAATTACTAAAGGCCAAGCCCATTCTTTCCCTGTGACAATAAAGGAGAAATTTGTGTGATCCAAGAGTCACTCTTTTCTAGCTACACAGGATCTTCAAGCTAGTGCTTCTCTTGCTCTGCCCTGCTGGCAGGGGAGAGGGAAAGAAATCAGTCCACACTGAGCATGTGACATATGTCAAGGAACGTCCTTGGAACTACAATTCTCTTTTGTTCATAAACAAACGGCATGTTAGTTACAATTTTCTTCTGGACTACTCCACTTGTAAGTCCTTCTACCAGGACTCCGATGGCCTAAGAGCTATTTTATGTCCCTACTACTACCACGGTAGAACTGCAAGGACCCTGCTGATACTCTTCTGCTACTATCAACCTTATTCTGGGGATAATATAGCTTTCTTAGTTAATCATCTGAAATACATGCATCCTCAAGTTTGTTTTTTATTATCAGCACTCCTAAAATTCTCACAAATCTCTTCCATTAGTAAGCATAATTGTTAAAGGTAAAGCAGAAAGCCATTTTAGGCTGACATACTTTTGAGTTCTCAGAATATATATCATTTCTAAAACAGGCATAAACTTTTAAATGCAGGATATTATCTAAACAAATGAATAATTGTTTAAAAAAAAAAAACTTACGCAGAATGAGTTTGCGTTTCTTTTGCTCCGAGTGAAGAAAGCTACTAAGGTAGAAAACAACAGGTAGAAAGAGGATGAACACAGAAACAGCAATAACAGGCACTGTGTCACTGCAAGAGATTGAGCAGTTGAAAGTTCGACTCCAAAGTTTTCGAGTAATATTCATCTGAAACAACAAATAACATTATTCTATTTTATATTTAACTTGTCTTCAAGTTCTTATAATTATTTTGTTAATAATTACTCATTGTATAAATTTACATTAATATAACCCAGGCATGGTAGTGCACACATGTAATCCCAGCAACTCAGGAGGCTGAGGCAAAAGAACCACAAATTTGAGGCCAGCCACTGCAACTAGTAAGGTCCTATTCTCAAAATAAAAAATAAAAAGGGATGGGGGCTTGGGGTTGTGGCTCAGCGGTAGAGCACTCGCCTAGCACACACAAGGCCCTGGGTTCAATCCTCAGTACCACATAAAAATAAATAAGTAAAATAAAGGAATTGTGTCCAACTACAACTAAAAAATAAATATAAAAAAATTAATTAATTAAAAAATAAGAGGGCTAGGGATAGATGTAGTTCAGTGGTAAGCATCCCTGGATTCAATTTCTAGTACCATAAAAATTTTTTAGGGTACTATAAATAAAAAAATAAAATTTACATTAATACAACAATGTCATATTCAAAATTCATAATACTGACCAAAGTATAACAATATCAATCACTCATAGCTTTCAAACAGAGAACTTATATTAATAGGAATGTAGTTAAACCCTGTTTCCATCCTTAAAAAATTTCATTATTTATTGAGAACCTACTTCAAACCAAGTAGTATTCTAGGCAATAGGAATAGGACAGTAAAAACAAAAGTCCTCATGACGTAGTGATTTTAAGTGCTTTTTAAACCATCCTGAGTATTACTAGTCCACTACAGTTTCTTCTGAGCTGCTGTGATAATTCACACTCATTATTCGCACCCATTAAGCTTATCAATTTTAATTTCAAGTGAGTTCTCTGCTCTGAGCCAGAAATTTCTTTCCTCTAATGCCTTCTCAGGCATCATATTGCCTAAAAAGCCATGATCGCCATCTAGTGGTGACCTATGTAAAGGCTGACTACATAATGGAAAGAAAAGATTTGTTGCTGACCATTCAATTAATACACTATTTACTAAGAGCCCACTCTACGCCAGGCATTATCCTACAGACTGAACAATGAACAAAAAAAGACAAGGTTCTTGTCCTCATGTGGTTTATATTTTAGTGAGAGGAGACAACTATAAACATAAGTATTTTCAGATTGTAAGAGTTGTAAAGAAATAAATGGGATAGGAAGTAACTGAGGAATGGTTTCTCAAATACATTATAGTAAAATCTAGACACTTTAATAAACAATGAGTACACAGTATAATTGAAAATAAACATACAATAATGCCCACACCTCTGAAAATAGCACACATTTTCAAATTTTTTTTTTAAAAAAGTAATAAATTGTTAATTCACTTGTGAAGTGCCTAATCAATTTCCATTTAGTTTGACAGACCAGGATATTCTACTTTATAACTAATACACAGTTATTGCTGGTTGAAGACTGGCAGATTACAATGTGCCTCCAAAAGAGATAATACTACTAATGGTATATTTAACAACCCTGCAAAATATGCATCATATCAGAAGCAAGTACTTACTGCATCTTCCACATCGATACATAAATGTGTTTCAGGAAGTTCAGCCTTATTATCAAGCTCATTCATTTTTTGCATTTCACTGTACAGACTGCTCAGAGTTTTGTATGCTTCACGACAGTTTTTACACACTTCTGAGTAATTTTTTGGTGGTAGAAGACCATGTGCACTCTCCTGAAGTCACAAAGGCAGATGTAATACATACAATAAACATCATAAATAATATCTCTGTTAATTATCTAATCTTCCAGAAGACAGAAGACAAATCTGGTGTGTTCAAGTGCTGAGCTGTGAGGTTGAGGACATTACTAAATCACCTGTATTATAGGTTCCACAGATTAGAGACCCGGTATATGAAGCACATGGCAAAATATTTGGCACTTTCTAAATGTCCTAAATGTTGAAAACCACTGCACCAGCCAATGTCAAATGTAGACAACACTAACTCATATGCCGAGTAACTTATAACTAAATGCCAAAGTTCTCCAATTATCTCATCAATAATATCTGCACATATCCATCCCATTGCTGACTAAATAAAATATGTCCCTGCCTGTGCTGTCTTCACCAAAGTTTGCTTGAGACAGGACTTCCATAATGGGAAAGGAAAAGGCACTACAACTAGATCCCCACTCAATTCTTTATCAGAAGGCTCTTAATCTGGGCCTTTCTAGTCAAAAAAAAAAAAGAGAGAGAGAGAGAGAGAGAGACAGAGAGAAACTTCAAAGAACTGGATAGCCTCAATAAGGGAAGGAGACATAACTTATGTTAGAATATCTGTTTTTTATACTTCTAGATTGACACATGTCCTTTCAAGAACAAGTTTACATATTGCTTTCTTTTTTTTTTTTTAGTGTGGGGGTGGTTACCAGGGATTGAACTCAGGGGCACTCGACCACTGAGCCACATCCCCAACCCTATTTTGTATTTTATTTAGAGACAGGGTCTCACTGAGTTGCTTAGAGCCTCGCTATTGTTGAGGCTGGCTTTGAACTCACAATCCTCCCGTCACAGCCTCCTGAGCCACTGTGATTACAGGCATGCACCACCATGCCCAGCTACACATTGCTTTCTATTCCCTTCAGTTTTTGCCATACTGTATGAAGAAAGAACATTAACTGAACATGGGAATTAAAGAAAAAAGGACAAATCAAAAAAATTAAACTGATGTAGCCTCTATAATGTTACCCTCACCATTTATTTGACAGAAAACCAGTCTCCCCTTAGTCTGCCATAAGAAAAAGCCCATCACCTAATTTTCACAGAAAAATTTAGCTGAACCCAAAATCAAACATTGAGCACAGAATCTTGATGGGGGATAATTTAGCCACTTTTATTAAAACTCAAAATGCACATGTCTTTTGATAATACAATTCCACTTCTCTGAGTCAACCAAACAAGTCTTCACAAGTATGCCAAGTCATATGAAAAAAGGTTCTCTGTGGCAGTGATTTTTAACAGTGAAGTACTGATATGTGGCATGACAGCTTCATTCTGCCTGTGGGGATAACCAGCACTTTGCAGACAGCTCCTCTCCATAGTCACCAGGACAGGCCAGATTTCCACAGAAGCTACCTGCAGGCACCTACTGCCCAAGCTGGACCTTACCTGGCACTTAAACCCACCTCCCTGCTATTCACCTGAACTGAAAGCTACTGCCACAGCCAACATCATCAAAATTTCACTGCTACTGCATTATCTGTTTTGCTGTCTCCTACTGACTCCTCTCCTGAGCTTTCTCCCTACACACAAACCCTAAAAAACACTGGAGTGTCCCAGGATGCAGTATTTGGGGCCCCTTTCCATCTCTCTACATTCACTCTTATCCAGATGGTGACTGTGAGCACCATCTGGACCTGCGGTCTCCCAAACCTCTATCTCCAGTTCACAATTCTTCCCGGAGCTCCAATCTCATTTATAACCAACCCCATGTGTCATCTCACCTCAGGTGTCTAATGGAGACATCCTACTTAACACGTTCAAAACAGAATTCTTAATCCCACTCCCCTACAAACTCACTCCTCCTTCTCCATGCCATCATCCTCTCAGCCACTCAGGACCAAAGCCTAGGATTACATCCAGATGCTTTGCTTTCCTTCACTAGCAACCCAAACCATTCCACCAGCAAATCCTGCACACAGACTTCTAAAATATGCTCTGAATTCACCTACTTTTCTTCAATGCTGCCAACAACACCCTCTCCTGTGCAGCCTCCAATCAGTTTGTACCTCCACACCTCCACTTTGGCCTGCCTTCACCTGAGCTCCTCTATGGAGCAGCCAAAGTGCTCTTGCAGCATCTGATGACGTCCTATGGAATTTATGCTTAAAGTGGCCTCCCCCATGCTTAGAATTTGTAGTAGTAGATATAATATTTCTAACTTACTAGAAACCTGGTTTTAAGGCTTCAGATTATTTGAATTATGGAATTCTACCTTGATCTGGGGAAGAAGTAGCTATTGTCTAATCTTGAAAACTGAGAGAGAACTACAGATTCAGACCTATTTCTTAAAAATCTTAAGATAAAAGATGCTTAAATATAGAAAATGAAACCATAAAAGTACTAAAACAAAATTTTAAAGTATCTCAATGTGGGAAAAAAAGCCTTCCTAATGTAATGAAAATACCATAAGTCATTATAAAATTGGTAAATCCAACAAAATTAAATTTTTCTTCATGATAAAAGAAAGCACAATGAAAAGACAACAAACTAGGAAAATAGCATTTGCAAATAACATCACAGAAAAAGGGCTAATATCCTACAAATATATTCATTAGAACACTGGTCTCTTAAACCAAAGAGTTCCCTGGTCAAATAGATTTGGTAAATGTGGTCAACACAAATGTCCATCTGAAATTTTATAAAATACATGAGTCCACTAAATTTTATAAAATACATGAGTCCACTAAAAGTCCTTAGTGAAGCATTTCCCAACCTTGGTAGAATATTAAATCCTCTTTTGACAGGTCACTTTATTAATGTCCTATAGAACACATTTTGGAAAATAGGAAATCTTTTTTGTTTTTCTCAGAGAAATTTATAACTCTATGTAATAACATTTATTAAACAGGAAATCATACATACTCACACTCAACACGTTTATATCTACTTGTGGGGATTACTTATTTATTGTGCAAATATAAAACTACAGTTTTTACCAAGGTTCCAATTTCATATTTCACTACCACCAGGCAAGTTCTAATACCAAAGTTCAAGGGTCAGAGATGGAAACAACAAAAACGTATAAGCTAGAATTCTTAAAGGCTACCTTTTGTATCATATTATTATTATGTTTACCTTACTAAATATTATTCAAGTTTACCTTACTAAATAATGCCTTTTAAGGGTATAATAGTGAGTTAAGCAAATATTGAGGCAAAAAAAAGCTTCCTGTAGACAGAATCATACTGCACAGTGAAATACCCATTATTGCATAAACAAAGTCAAAGTCGGATTAAACAACATTGTGTTTTAATTAAACACCTGCATGCCTCAGTTAGTGTTTTCACACTCATTATCTCACCAAATCTTCACTACAAAAACACTTGAAGGCAGGCAGATCAGCTATTACTGTCCCTACTTTACAAATGAGAGAACTGCAGTCTTAATATCTGCAAGCAGAAGAACTGAAGAGCAGAAATTCAAACCTACTAATTCCTCTGAGTACAGATAAACACCAACAATGTCATAAAAACTTGGAGTTAGACATTATTCATTTGTACAAGACAGCATTTTAATCTCAAATATATATAAAGTACCTGAAGGTTATGCTCAAAGCAGGTCAAGGTGAGGTTAAATAGATTGAGGAAATATATTGTGCTGTTTGATAATTCTTCACCGTTGTCTGTTAAACAATCTGTCAAAAAAAGTATATTACTATATCACAAGCAACAATTTCATGTTGTCAGTTAGCTTTCAAGTTATCATCTTTTGTTTGCACTATAATAATCCTTTATTTCAGCAAGCATGAAGTATTCCACATAAGAGAATTTTCCAAATGCATGAAGTTCACCCTTATTAGTTTCCAAAAACATTTTTAAATCCGCCATTTTCATGAAAATCTTAAAATAATTACATACCTTCCTCCTTTTATATAAACAATATATCATACCAAATGAAATTTAAATTGACCTTTAATGGTAAAAAGGTCATAATCATGAAAATCAGGTCTCTTAATAGTGCTATTTAGGCATAACACTGTTTATGCTACATTAATTTTGCCTCAATTCTTCTCCCTTTTTATCTTTGTGTCAAATTTAGTAGTTCTGTGTCTCTTCCAACTTCACTAACAGGGTCATTTATTGTACCTAATAGGGTAGCCTTTTTAATTTGCTCATTCTATCATGAGTTGGGAGTCCAGAGAAATAAATGGGTGCAAATTTTAACCAAATACTGACAAAAAGTATCAAGTAAAGTTTGGAAATAAACAGAATTGTCTTACATGTTTTTATAAATCTTACATAAATTGTATTCCTCTGCAACTTCTACTCTTGCTTAGCATTAGCTCAAGTTAATTCATTCCTTTGCTTTTTTATGAATATATTCATAAAAATAAATATATTGCAATTTACTTCTCCATTCTCCCCTCTTTAGTGAATCTACTCTTCATCTTCCCTTTGTCTTTTTCTCTCCCTGAGTTCTCAGCCTATCATCTCCAAGTCAGGCTCAACAGCAGGGCTTCAGATCCCACTTGTGGTGGTTGCAGTTTAACTAATCTCCTCAAATCATTGCCTTCCACATACCCACAAACATTTCCATCTGCTTTCTCTACTCCTGATTCTGGTTCTAGAACACAATTACATAAAATTCTAAAATTATACTAAAAGAACCTGAATCAAATTCATGTGACCTATGAAGTCACATCATCATAGATGCCCTATTAATTGCTCTACAGGGATGTTCCACAGGAATGTTCCAAATATTTTCTATTCCCTAGTCCCCAGTCCAATTCTTGTCCCCCTTAATTTCAACAGACAGCTTTATATGGCATCCACCTGACTCAGAAAGTTAACGCCAACTAAGAGTATCTTCTCAGCCATGTGTGGTAGTACATGCCTGTTATCCTAGCTACTCTAGCCAAGGCAGAAGAAATGAAGTCCGAGGCCAGCCTGGGCAATTTAGCAAGACCCTGTTTCAAAATAAAACAAAAGGGCTGGGGATGTAACTCAGTGGAAGAGCACTTGCCTAGCTGCATAAGCCCTGGGTTCAATCCCTAATACCACCACCAAAAAAAAAAAAAAAAAAAATCTTTCAACCAGGAGTGGAGAGATACCATAGAAAACTACTGCATTGATCCAAATGGAATTCTTTGGTAGACAAGAAAGAGCTGAACAGGTAGACACTGGGACACAACACTAAAGGATGTCTCATGCACTATGAAAAACAACAATGAAAGCTGGCATGTGCTGAGTAATTGTTATGTTCCAAGCACTATGCTTATATTTGAAACACATTTACTTATTCAATTCTTGCAATGATTCTATGAGGCAAGAATAAGAAGCTTAGAGAAATTATGGAGGTTGCCCAAGGACATGAAACTGATTAGCAAAAAGCCAGAATGTATACTCAGTCTGATTCTTGAGCTTGTACTCTCAAACACAGCAAAATAAACAACACATTCACAGCTACATTCTTGATGATTAAAAAGTTCAACAAACACATGCCATGGCTCCTCCGTCCAGCACACAGACATCTTACACCGTGCAGGGATTCAGGCAGTCTCTACCAACTCAACAGAGTTGGCAACCAAGATGAAACCCGAACCGGGTGAACTGGGCAGCAGCAACCAGCACTTTAAGACTCCTTTGGGCAAATTAGAAACAGGCTCATCCTCTAGGTGGATGAATTATGAAAGGGCACTCTTGCCTCAGAAGCCAACTAGAATTCACCCCATTCACTCCCTCATACACACGGCCTATGTAGGGCCCCCTCTGAACCCAGTGAACATGGGGCCCTCTTAGTAAACCAATTCCTAGATTCTTCTCTCTCTGAACTTGTATACTCTACATTCTCTGCAGCTTTGTTTTCCCAAGAACATAAGTTCCATACTAACTGTTCACCCGATCATTTAAAAATCTGAGGGTTCATTTTACAAACTGAAACTAAGAAACTAAGCCAGAGAAATGAGGGGGTATATTGAGGCCCATATACCAAGTTCATAAGGCACAGAAATACCAAATATACTTTCCAGACTCCTATATTCTCTTAATTGTACCATTTTTTTAACTATTTAAATATATTATTTCATTGTCAGTTTTCACAAAATTCAAATAATAAATTATTTAAAATGTGTGTGTGGCCAGATGTGGTGGCACACGCCTATAATCCCAGTGGCTCAGGAGGCTGAGACAGGAGAATGTTGGGTTTAAAGCCAGCCTCAGCAACAGTGAGGTGCTAAGCAACTCAGGGAGACCCTGTCTCTAAATAAAATACAAAATAGGGCTGGGATGTGGCTCAGTGGTTGAGTGTCCCTGAATTCTGTCCCCAGTACCTCCCCCCAAAAAAAGAAAATGTGTGTTTGTGTGTGTGTGTAAATGCCCCATGAAGTACTCTTGAATTCTCTTAGGGATGAAGCAGAGTGTGTGTGTGTGTGTGTGTGTGTGTGTGTGTGTGTGTGTGTAAACACAATTAGATAGACACAGAATATTAGTATTTTAAGTTAATAAGACTGAACAACACATTTTGTGTTTGATGCCTTGCAGGGAAGTTGAGGGAGCACAATTTCATCCACAGCAACAGGACATCTGTGTTATGATGAGCCATGTCATGACAACTAATGTATACAACATAAGAGGGAAAGTAGCATGTGTCCCAGCACGACCTGCAATAGTGTAAAGCCTTTTACTATGAGAGACCATAGCAATTTCTTCTACACATGATACATAATTAAAATAATTTCTTTATTTAAAAAGTAATTTATAAACAAAGCTTCTCTGAAGAACAAAAAGACATAATCTCTTGTATTTTACTAACAGCCATTTACATTTCACTGAAGATAATCTGCAAGTTAAACTAAAAGCTAATACATTCTTGTCATCTGGTTAAGCACTGTACTCAACCATCAAAACTTTTTCAATAACTGTTAGCAGAATCATAAGGCACAAAGGAGTTCATTATTTAATAGGGTTAAAAATGTCTTCATTATTAAAAAGCCCTGACTTTCTGCTTCAAAACAAAGGAACTTCAGTAAATTCCTCTTGTATCCTTTTCCTGAAACTGGGGCATAAGGTTATAAACAGTGAGAAGCTATGTATTTTAGAAATTAGTAAGTTAAAGACTATTAGCAATTATAAAGCTTCCTATAAGCACTAAGTGAAGTGGTCATTATGAATTTCCCTCTCTCAGATAATCAATGGAGCCTCATCAAGGACACATTAGCATAGCTTCTGTCTCAGTGAGGGCTCAGGCTTCAGCTTAAGAGGCAATCTTAAAGGTGCTAAGGATCCAAGTGAAGACCTTTCACAGAAGCCCAAAAAATCATCATAATGGGAATTATGCATCTTTAAATAAAGTATTTGGCATCTATTACAAGTTTGTATAAAGAACTCTGCTGTTTTCAAAATCAGTTTTATAGAAAACAATAATCACTAACAGGGCAAGCTTCAGAATATCTAAAGTAAACTGTGGAAATTTTTAATTAAATTTAATAAGAAAACGTAGACATTTTAAAGATAGAAATAAATAAACCCTGATGCTTAGTAGTCCATTTTCACTAGGTAAAATATGGGAAAGAGCTCTCATTAACTGACCTTCTGGTTAACCAGTAAGTTTCACTGTTGACTTTTCAAACATCAGTGCATAAGCCATGTGTACTAATTTCAGGTTAATCTTCCTGTTATGAATCAGAATGTATATCAGGATTACACAGTGGTTCAATAGCATTGTTGTAATCATAAATTATCATTCATATCACTGTAGATATAGGCTGCTCACAAAGAAAAAGTGTTTTTACCACGTAAGAGCAAACATCTGAAATAGTAAATTTGGAGGCCCTTCTTAATACAATAATAGTTCATGATATATACTACTTGCCAAAAAAAAAAAAAAAACACTTGACAATAAAACAGTCCATAGTCTCATCAAATCTGGTCATTCTGCTAATTATTCAACTTGGTATATACAAGATAACCAGGTAAGGTCTCAATAACAAGGCTATATATTCCTATGTCAACAATATATTACTGCTAACAGCTTTATAATTCTGTACAGGAGAAATCATTTATATAGTTTCTTTACCCCTTAGCAGTCATTCTCCACAAGGAAAAGCTAATATCCATGTTATTTGTACTGTGGTAGGAAGAGCTGGACTCTTCTTTAAAAAAATCTATTTATGTATTCTAATTTGTTCTACATGACAGCAAAATGCATTTCAATTCATAGTACATACATAGAGCACAATTTTTCACGTCCCTGGTTGTACACAAAGTAGAGTCACACCATTCGTATCTTCATACATGTACTTAGGATAATGATATCCATCTCATTCCACCATTTTTCCTACCCCCCATACCCCCTTCCCCTCCCTCCCCTTTGCCCTATCTAAAGTTCCTCCATTCCTCCCATCCCCATTATGGATCAACATCCACATATCAGAGAAAACATTTGGCCTTTGGTTTTTGGGGATTGGCTTACTTCATTTAGCATAATATTCTCCAACTCTATCCATTTACCTGCAAATGTGATTATTTTATTTTCTTTCAATGCTGAGTAATATTCTGTTGTGTATATACACCACAGGTGAAGAGCTGGACTCTTAACGTTTCTTTTGATGTTCCATCAATTTCTTTCTTTCTTTTTTTTTTTAAGAGAGAGAATTTTTTCTTAATATTTATTTATTTTTTTTTAGTTTTCAACGGA